CGAGCTCCAACTACCACCGAGAATGGCGTAGCTGTTCTTGCTACGCCCCCGACGCTTCATATCTCTACACTTCCTAGTCACATCACTAAACTTCATGGGACATTCCAAAACCAATTCAGAAGATTTGGGGTTATTGGTGTCCTCTTCATTGTGCTGCAACTCTGTTGAAGTTTGTGGGGAGATTGTGAGCTTGGGAGATAATGGATTCAAATCTCCAAAAACAATGGGGTTATGATCTTCATAACCCATAGTTTGGTCCAAATCACTATTCCACTCCTTATGAGCTAACTTTCCCCTATTGCTATGAGAAAACCCACAGGCCCAAGCTGCAGATATGTCCCCAATTTCCCCAAGCCTAACATTTGGACGCCTCTGTCTCTTCGAGTTCATCACATTCATAACCAACATGATTCCAGAAACCAGAGAACACAAGAACCCTAATTCAAAAAGCAATAGAAATTGAATCTCAGCTCCAATTCAATTCACACTACATTAGCTTCAGAGATATCAATCAATACGCAAAAGAAACACAAAAAACGAAATCTCAGCGTCGCGAAATGAGTAATTTACACCAAGAAACAGAATCAGACGAAACATTGGCAGTAAAATCGCAATCCGATGAGAAACGAAAATCGCATAAAAAGTTATAATCTAGAGGGAAAGAAAGGAAGAATCGAACCTCGAATAGCCAAGAACTTCGACCACAAAGTGAAAATTTGACTGTTTCTTCAAAACCAACAGCGAGGATGCTGGATTTCTATCCACCAATAGAAAAACTCGTTGAAAACTGTCGCTGTGCGGCAACTTGTACGCATTCGATCCAAAGGCAAGCAAAAAAAGTGAGAAATCGATGAGAAAAAAAGGAAAAACTTCCAATTAAGAAGTGGATTTCGCTACTTTTGTTCTTCCCACTGGTTTATAAGACGGATTCGAGATTTGGAAAAGGGGAAAAGGTTGACGAAGACACTTGAAGTCGAAAACTTTCAATTGGGTCCAAGGGAATGAATTGGGTAGATTGTGGTGTACAGGAGAGGTGGGTGAGTTGGTGGCTTTTATGGTGCCGCGTGGATGAAAATTGGCGTGCTGCGCTGTGAATGGATAGATGATACGGTTCGTAGGTGGAAAGGAAACTGTGGGAATGGAAAGACGAAGAAGAAGGGGATTGTCGTGGAAGCTTCGTGAAGCTCCCAATGGATAAGAACGAGGAACAATTTTTTTTTTTTTTTTAAAAAAAAAAAAAAAAAAAAAAAAAACCCCATAAACTTATTTTAAAAAATAAATTAAAAATATATATTTAAAAAAATTATTAATCAGAAATTTATAGAAGGGTAGAAATTAGACTTGTACCAAATAATGTACGTAATTATAAATTTTAAAATTATTAGGGACTGAATTTAATTTTATTTCAACTATAGAAATAATGTTTTTTAAAATATAGATTTAATATATATATAAAATTATATTGGATTTAATTTATATTTTTTTTAAAAAAATTAAACTTAAAAAATATTGGATTTGCCCATTCGTCGATCACACGTGGAGCAAGGCCGAGAATGCAGTCCAGCGTGAAAACGTGCGGGCTTCCCTCACCGGATTTTGTCCATCTTCTCCTCTATTATCACATCCCGTCGACGCGCGACCAAAACTAAGAAGTAGAGAGCGCGCGTAGTGAGATTCAACGTTTAGGTTCCGCCATGGATTTTTGGAACAAAGCTCGAAGTTTTGCTGAGGAAACAGCGAAGCGCTCACAGGAGCTGACTCTGGAAGCTGCAAGGCGTTCCCAAGAGCTCACGATCGGATCCTCTAGACTGTCCGATATCGTTTCCGAGACTGCTAAACGCTCCAAGGAATTTGCTAACGAAGCCTCCAAGCGAGCTGAACAAATTAAAGCGGAAGCTGTTAAACGAGCTGATCTTATCAAGCACTTGGTCGAAGGGTCTTCGCCGTCTGGCGCGCTGGAGGAGAACGCTTATGATGAAGAGACGCGGGAGGAGGATTTGCAGCGGTTTGGAATAAACGAAGAGCTGAGGGACTTCGTCAAAGGGATCACTATGAGTACATTTCGAGATTTCCCACTCGAAGGTAATTGATTCATTTTCTTGAATTCTCTGTCATTTTGGCTGGTTGCTTGAAAGATTAAGGAAGGGGGGGGACGGAATGGCGATAAACAGGGGGAGAAAAAATAAATGTAGACCGGAATTATCAAGAACTTAAGTTTAAAAGTGAAGACTATTAAGCTTAACTTAGCTGACGAATTATCGAAGGTTGAATCTCAATATAGAGGGGGACATTGAATTTGAAGAACTACCTTAATTGGCAGAAACCATCCCAAATCATTCATTCCCCAATATCAGAATTAAATGCCGGTGCCATGCTCTGGAATATCTGCAGTGTAATAAGTTGAAGCGTATTTAACAGGTTTAATTTGGAGCTTTAGCTCAGTACCATTGCAATTATTTGAGGACAACGAGGGAATGACCATTCCATTTGAATAGAGCGGGAAAACGGTCCATTAGTGAAGTCTACAGCCTTATTTAAGCCAATATGCTTTAAAGTGTGAAACAAATTAAATTCCTATTTGTCCACTTACATGACCATTTGAGGTTGGGCTTGAAGAAATTTGGCTAGAGAAATTTGATATCCTTCCCTCAGATCTTGGCAACTCCAAACCCATTAAAATCTCTTGTTTCTGAAATTATATGCACCTAATAAAAAAACCCTTTGCACTGTTTAATCTTAACCTCTAATGCCAATAAATCTCTTGAGATGTTAGCATCTTTTTAACGGTGATAAATATTACATGTTTATTTGTTTCTCTCCCACCAATACTTTATTTTTAAAACTTGTTAATTTCCCTTTGCGTAGATGATTCACAAATGTCCAGTGTCCCCACAGTCTCAAATATTAGTCAGGATCTAACTGAGTGGCAGGCGAAGCATGCAAGTCTTGTTCTTTCAACTGTCAAGGTACTATTATTAATAAACTTGGCAACCTTGAAGATGAACGTAGATTTTTTCAGTTCATTGTATTTTGGCATTCTATTGTGCATGCCATGAATTTATATTTTCCGTACTTCCTTGAAAACATGCATTATTACGATGTATATGCTTTTAACCTTCATTTTGATTTCATGTGTGGCAGGAAATTTCTAAGTTACGTTATGAATTGTGTCCACGCATCATGAAAGAGAGAAAATTCTGGAGGATTTACTTTATGTTGGTGAACAGGCACATAGCACCGTAAGTTTTAAGTTTTGGGGCTAGTTCGAGCCTTCACTCTGGCTTTAAACTTTGAATTCTGATTGCTAAATCATCACAGCGTCTAGATTTGTATTGCTTGTGAACTGTAATAAGGCATAACTAAGAGTGGGAAACGCAAAAAAAGCTATGTGTGTGTTAAGACCTTAAGAACAAAAGTTATTGGATTGAAGACCTTAAACTTTGAATTTTGAGTGCAAATAGTTACTTCTTTTTCTAGAATGGACAATGGAGGCCCAAAATCCCAAGCGACTAGTGTATTTAAAAAAGAAGGCGAATACTTTAACAAGGCTAAAGTGCATTTAATAAGTTACCTATTGCTAGTGGGCCAAGGAAGCAAACTCAGAGAATGCTTGCGCTGAGACATTATTTCTTATAAAGCAAATAATGATCATCAGAATAGCAGCTTCTATCTTTTTACTAGTCTCAAATCTCAAACGTTTCCTTCTCTAGTGAATTTTATGTGTAATATTTTACTGAACACAACTGCAGAAAAACTTTCTACATGAGTGTTTCTATGAATATTTCTTGTTTTCCCCGATCTTTTTTCCTTTCCTGAATTCATTAATGACTCAGTTGATCATAAAAGAACATGTTTACCAATTTGTCAACTCTTTTTTCGTGTCCTGATCTTCAGTCCTTAATTTTCTTCAAGAATTTCATTAACAAAATGTCAAATATTTCTTGGTCTTTGTTCTCTTACTTGTCCAGCTATGAGAAAAAGTACATGGAGGATGCCATACTGACATCAGCTAAGCAAGCTGAAGATGGAAAGATGGAACCTGTTAAAACTGAAATAACATCTACATCTCAAGAGGAGAAGAAAGTTGCTCCAGCCTCCTCATCAAGTGATCAGGAGAAGAAAATTGCTTCAACCTCCTCGTCAAGTGGTCAAGAGAAGAAAAATGCTCTAACCTCATCAAGTGATCAAGACTTGGATGTATTTCTTCTTGGGGATCTTGGAGACAGCGATGAAGTTCTAGGTATGGTGCCATAATTTATTTTTATCTGATCTGTATTGATGTTTTCTGAAAAATAAAACACACGTCTAGAAAATCTCTTAACAAAGATCTGTTCCTTTGAAGTTATTGACTGTGAATTCAAAATTGTTGATGATAACTCTATAATACATGATCTTTGACAAATTGTTGTTGTCAAGGGGCTGTATTCGCAATTGGCATATATCTTTTTGAGTCCTACTGAACCTTTTTACGAGGCAGAACACAATTTTGCTCACTTCTTTGTCTAAAAGGAAGACACTCTAGACATGTGATTCTTTTGCTTGAAAACAAGTGATTTGACGGAGTGCCCACCATTTGTCACTTCCATGGTTTTAAACATTATTTGCTGCAATTATTGGCAATGAGCATTGCATATGCACAGTCTATTTATATAATTGCTTGTCCATTATTACTGTTGATTTCATTTTTTCATTTGAAGTTGGTGCCACTGATCTTCTTCCTGGTTTTTCAGATGATGGAGATGAGGACTTTGATGATGACTTTGACAAGATGGTTGACAGTTCGGTAAGTAGAACCTATCATTTGCTTTCCTTCCCCACTTTCACGTTTGACTAATCTGTTGTGTTTGGTGCCACAATTGCACTTCTTTGGGACTCGTGAAATGATTGTGTCCTTTTAGAACTCATGAAATGGTAGTCTTTGTTTTATGTAACAACCCGCTTTTTGAGGGATCCAAGCTGTTGACCATTACCTATTGACATGGAATATTTGAAAATCCGCATTTAATTTAAAACTTCTAAACGTGCATGCACATAAAGAAAATTTAGGTTTAATACAACATCGTTCAAAAATACCTTACAGACTAACAAACCACGACACACACAGGAAAAAGAAAAAAAAAACTTGGCATAGGAAATTCGTAAAAATCTTTGCATACAAAGATCAAGGGTTCGTAAGAGAAACATATCAAAGGGAGTACAAGACACCGATCTAGTCCAAAACTTCATAGCCCCTAGCTCGTGTGTGCCTCTGTCTTGACCGCTGCTTCATGCCTCATCTTAAAATTTTAAAGTAGCAGGAATGAGTATATAAAATGTACTTAGTAAGTAGTTTGTTGGTAGTTCTAGTTCGTTATTAAGTTTTATTGATCTTAGTTCATTCGTTCAGTGTCTTATTCTCCTTTGGGGGTTCATTCTCCAGTATAGGCTCTTTCTAGGTTACACCCTAGATCTACTCACGTCGATTGATTTCGACCCCTTATGTGAATATGTAGTCCTCATCTCCCTAAGTTCAACAAGCCAGAAATCGCATGATTTGGTCGAGATTTGAGGGAGATATGAGCTTCAAAAGTTTATGAAAAACCATGAAAACCCTTACCTCCGATGATGCTTGCAACCCTTCGTTCCTCGACCTCCCTCGGCGAAAAACCTCCCAACCGACACACTTGAACACCTAAGGAAAGGTTACAAATTCGAGCTCGAACAGTTGCTGACGACTAGGGGGTTTTCCTTGAGTTTTCCAAAAATTCTTCACTCGAACTTGAGTGTCCCCTCCCTTAAATCACCTCCTTGGCACTCTCTTTGCTCTAAGCCGACGGTTTCTAGTTGTCCTATCGCCACCTGCACCTGTTTTAGGACTGAAACGATTGTGCGATACTTACTCTCACCCTTAAGTAATTCGGCCAACTCAAACTTGGATTGCTGGTGGTACTATCTCATAGTCTCTAGAAAATGGTTTTAGAATATGGGGTTATAGATAGTTTTGAAAAACATTGTTTAGGAGTAGATGTTATACGTTAGCCGTAAGAGTCAATATAAACATCGATGGCATACAACTCAAGTAGGAAAATTTGACAACTAGTTGTATCCCCCTCTAGTATATTAGGAGACAAATTGTCTTTAGTAGGTGCAGACGTTAACAACATTACAAGGAACTTAAATAATTATACTAGAATGAAATACATTCAAAGCAATGTAAAAGGTTTAATGGGAAAGCAATCATGGGCAAGACAGACAAGTGCAATTGTGATACTTGACATCCCAAGATTTTCATTTAAGTCTAATGAATTCGGTGTTATTATGTTGCTGAGTTCGCGATCAAACCCCTCCCCACCCCCCAGCGATGAAAGATTTTCAATTGCTCCCAAGAACTCTTAGAAGGTTTGTTTTAGTTCCTATTGCAAGAAACAGTTCAAAACAACCAATAACAGTTTTCTTAAAACAACCTTGAAAGGTTTAAAGTGAATAAGTTCAACTCATGGTAGCCGCCTACCTAGGACATAACATTATAGAGTTACTTTGACAACTAAGTCTAGTAGAGGTAGGGTTAGATGGTGGTTCCGTGAGAATAGTTGAGGTACACAAACTGGCTCAGACAGTTTTTCTAAAAATATAATTCCTTTAGTTTCATGCCTTACTGGAATTTGCCAGTGCTGGAAGATAAAATCTGGAAAGATGTTACCCATTGTTTGGTATTGAATTTTGTCTTAAACCATAGGATAATGAGAACGACAAATTGTAGACTACTGTATACTTGTTTTCCTCATATTGGTTCATTGTTTTCATCCATTTGAAGTCCTCTTCTATGTTCCTGGCTGTGGGGGTCGGCTGATGTCAAATAAGCCAAGTCATATCACTACACTAGATGCCAAACAAGTTCTGTGTTAGAAAAAATAGTTATATTCTTCAAGAATCAACGACAACCATATGCAAAAAGCTCCTTGAAAACACCACCAACCCCATTTCGTTCTTTTTTAGCACCATATCCCAGCAATACCTGAATTCTTTGGTGCATAGCCCTAAATTTTTTTAGTTTCTGTTAAGATTGCCTTTTAGTGTTCTAAGTGAAACACTATTTAAATACTTCCTTTACTAGTGTTTTTTATCTATTAACATTTCTCACCCCACTTTTTGATTGTCACTTTTTTTTTAGTAAAACTCTCTGAAACTAAAATGTTTATAGTCATATATAAGCACTTTAAAAGGTATCCTATATACGTGCTATTGGACTTTGCTGGTGCTGGAATTCAAAATCTGATTATATTCTCTTTTTATTGCGCACCTACTATTTGGTAATGAAATTTGTCTTAAACCTACAGGATGGCGAGCAAGACAAATTGTAGGAGTTACATATTGCGTCATTGCTTCCCATCCATTTGAGTTGAAGTTGTCTCTGTTCTGTTCTTGGTGGCGGGTTTCAGTGGGATGAATGATGATCCAATAAAACCCAAGTCTTCTCCCGCCACTAGAGCAGCTCTTGCATCTGCACCTGTGCTGGAGAAAAATGGTAATCTTATTGTCATTCTTTTGAGGGAGGTATTATTTTATGTACAAAAATCTTGTATACTTCAAACTTCAAAGCCTGAGCATCTTGGTTGCTTGTTTTCCATTTTGTACAGCTCCGAGCACTCTTAACTATTATCAGTTTGGTCCTCCTTGTAGCCCTCTTGACAGTTGGTTAATATTTCTAGGCTGATAGGTCTAGACAGATTCGATCCGGGTTTCAATTCATTTATTTGTTCCTTTTTTTTTTTTTTTTTTTTTTTTTC